CTGACGCCGACGCCAGCGTCTTGCCGTCGGGTGAGAAGGCCACAGAGATGACCCAATCCGAATGGCCTTTGAGGGTCTCCAAATCAGGGCTCCAGTCCTCTAACACTGGCATGCATGTGACCCAAGCTGGAGCTTCTTCCGCAAATGTCTTCTTAATAATGCTCGCCTTCGGACTGAACACTAGTCCAGCAGTGTATACTTGAAGCGGTGCTTCTTCAAGAGCGGGTCGAAAAGCCAGAATAAAGCGTGTTGCATCATGAACTAGGGCTTGTAGACTCGAGCTAGCGGTGCCAGGAGGGGTTGCTGAAATGTTATGCGTCTTAAGGTTCAGGCTTGACAGAAATGTTGAAACCTTATTACGCAGCTTTGTTCGTATTAGAGGTTGTCCCCTTTGCTTTGTATTGCAGGTCAGCTACAATTATCACTCCTCTATAGAAGTAATGCCTTACCGAAAACATTGAATTCAACACATGGACCATATCAACTGCATTAGAGACACGGCCAAGCAATGCAAGTGATTCGAGCCAATAAAGAAAGTGCTTTTGGAGGAACTCTTCAATATCATAGCGGCTGTCCGTATCTATAGCGCTCCTTTGGTAGTGGTATACCCAGAACCGGCATGCATACTGGACATGAGCTGGGATGTGTCTCTTTGCTTCAATCCTGCTCAAATCAGCTTTGCGAGCTCCTAGATGCCGGAGATTGCAGATATTGCGCTGCAGGTGCTTCGACATTGCTCGCAAACAGTGCTGGTACATTTTGCTATGGACCTGTTGCTCGTCGATGTAAAACCGGAGATTCGAGCATCTGCCCTGATTAAGAAGGAAGTCGCGGAATGATGGGTGCAGCAGCCGGACCGTCTTCGACTCGTTCGTTGGCACGTCAAGCACCGAATGTAGGTTACCCAACGTCCTCTTCAACGCTGCCACATCTTTCCCGAGCAGCTCCACAAGGCTCGCTACGGACAGCGGGTCTTGCAGCGTGACGATGGGCCCGACAGCCTGGCGAAACAGCTCGTGCAGCGCCTGGCTCTCTGCTTCGCTGTGCCCCCCTTGGACGGAGTTGGAAAGAACAGTGGTGTAGATCTCGTCCAGCTTGCGCTCGGGCGGAAGTGTCCCGTCACCTCCTTGGTGGAGAAGCGACGATAGTCGTCCTTCGGCAAGTTGGTGGTCTTCTCCTACAAACCGACATGCTGTTGCAGCCCAGATGAACAGCCCACCGGAGTTCTGCACTAGACGCGCGATAGCCTTCTCCTCTGGCCAGCCCGCTGCGAACCCGCACCCTTTCCCGACGAGTCCGAGCTGGTGTCTCAAGAACACTGCAATGTCGTGCTCTACGATTGCTGGCTCGATGTCGTGGAGCACAAAGTCTCGGTGCTTATCGCTTCGCACCTGGGTGAACCCGTACTGGATAGGGAACTCCGGCCTGCTCGTCAGAAGCACACGCAGCTGAGTGCCCTGCAGTGACTGGACTTCCACCAGACGCTGGAGAATGAGCTGGACATTGTTCTGGTCGTCGCACTCGTCCAGCGCGTCAACGATAACGACATATCTCGGCCAGTGTTCTTCTCCTTCGTCGAGGCTCGATAGCGGACTGAGCACTAGCTCGTGCCACTGATCGTCAATAGACTGGCTGGCGATGTCGTGGTGCTTGGCTATCGCCTCGCAGACCTTGGGCTTCAAGCCCGGTATGCTGTTTGCCAGCTGCGCTGCGATGCTCGTAATGAACATCCCCGCGTGGCTGACGTCTGCACCGGCCCGCGAGAAGAAGAAGCTGGCTGCAAGTCGAGCCTTTCCATGGTATTCCTTGGCTACCGTCTGCGCGATGGTCGACTTGCCGGTGCCGGCCAGGCCGCTCAGCCAGAAGATGGCTGGTGAGTGTTCACCATCAGCCCAGTCGTGTATCTCATGGAGGAGGTCGACGCGGGTGTCGGGCAGACAAGTAGGGTCGTGCTGTCGCCCGTACGCGTTGAACGGCGCGTCCTTGGCGGTCGGCAGGCTCTTGAGCACCTCGTTCAGGGCTAGATTACAAAGTCAGCTTGCGTCCCCGTGAAGCTTGAGCGTATGTACTTACAAGCGCCGTTGTCATTTTTGGCGTAGTTGATAGTTCCTAGGTTCAGACCAGCAAAGCTCTGGCCGCCGTTGGTAGCGGACGTACCATGGATGTGGAGCGAGTGGGGTAACGAGCCGCTAGCCATTGCAAAACGTCACCGCTGCTGCGTTGCCAGAACGCAAGCGAAATACTCTTGCGCTGGAATGCGCTCGTGTTACTGTGCAGCAGTGTATGAAGCCGTCAAGCCTCCTCATTGAAATGGCGGCGCCAAGGCATGAGTGTTGATTGGTTATAACCCGTCGCCTCGTCTGCCATTTTGACAGCCATCTCCTTTTATTCTAATTGAAGACATTTCAGTACATTGTTTGAAGTCTTCTTCCGAGCAATGGACCCTCTCAGCATTACTGCCTCTATTGTAGGCATTACTACGGCTGCTATCCAGAGCGTCCAGTTCCTCGCCAAGACCGTCGACCATATCAAAGAGGCTCCCAATACTGTCAAGGATATTGGCACCGACCTTCGAGCAGTCCAGCCCGTTCTGCAAAGTCTGGCCAAAGCATTGCAAGGCGGATCTGAGCAAATCGTGTTGAGCGACCAGATCAGGTATGCTGTTGAGAATACCGATAGAGCATGTACAGCATTTCAGTCACGAGTGGAGCGTTGGATGAAGCATTCCACAGAGGACAAGTTATTCTGGATGGATAGATGGAAGGTTGGATTGTTCGGGCTAGAGCATATCAAGACATTCAGAGGGCAGCTCAGCGACTGCAAAGGCACTCTTAGCGTGGCTCTTTCCACAGCGACAATGTACCCAACCTTGCCCCTACAGATATACCATGCTTCTGACAAATTGCAGTCTTACGACGTCCCGTCAAGAGAATCTCATGAAGGAGATGAAGGATATAATGCTTCAACAGAACGAGGTCGTCGTTCGGCAGCAAATTACCCGGGCAGACGCTGAAACAGCCGAGATAGACCGCAGTGTCCAGCAACTTACGCTGAGCAGGAGCAGCGAGCGAAGCCATGTATCACAACAAACCGAGGAATCAGAACAGAGCAGACAGGTGCTTCTCCAAGAGCTCGGGAGACAGCAAGCCGCTAACAACGCCCTTAAAGAGATGTGTGAGGAAGCTCTTTCCAAAACAATCTATCAGCGCACGGGTCAGAAGATTAAAGGTGTGAAAGCAACAAACCATAGCTCGGCCCTCACCGGATTTATTAACACCTCGGGGGAAGAGTTGGGAATCGACCAAGACATCACGGATGTGAGTGCTGACAATAGGAGCGTTGCAGTTGCTGGTGTCATCAAGAACTTAGATTTCAAGGACTTGCATTCAGGCGGGGGTGGCCGTGACGGACTCCGCATGTAATGTAGAAAAGCACGTCTCTACGCCCTAGAGATTTCAGTGCACATATAAGGAGCCGTTGGTTGTTTGGTGGTACGACAGCTTGTATCACCAAGACATGTTGAGCTTGTCCAACTTCATATGTGCTTGCAACAACGGCGTTCTGCCAGTGCCACTCGGCCCACCTGCTGAAGCACAGGCTTCAACTCCTAGGACCACCGCAATCTATTTTGTCTTCTCCTTATCTCGTTGTGTTCCCTTTTAATGAGTGGAGACTAGATCTCGGCTGCCGCTTGGTCTAGGAATCAGCGTCGGTGGACTCGAGAAGCATGAGGACATGGTTGCTTAGGCAGGTCTTTCATTCGGTCGGCGGAAGGGACAACGGCGGGTTCCGTAGCTTGAGGGCGATGTGAGTGGTGTGCCTCTGTGTTGCGAAAATGCGTGTCGCTGTGCGTTAGACCGCATCTCGAAGTTGTACGATGGCTGTGTCGAGCGTTGCTACTATATACAAGCGCGAGCTTTTCGAGTCGTAACACTGCTCCTGATCCGCACAGCCACACACTTCGGTAAATTACCCACAAGTGCGTAAGGTAAGACTTGCAGGGTCATCTCGCATTAGCCCGGATCGGTACTCGCTTCCGCTGGAAGTACCAATCGACAGGGCGACCCCGCATGAATCTGCCCGCGACAGCGCGTACAGGGCTGACGATGGCATCCTAGTATAAGAGACAGGTTTCGAGGGTAGGAGAAAGCTGTTCTACAAAAATTTAGTGTAAAAAAGTCTCAATGTTGGCGCTGTAGGCAGGGAAACACATTTTGCTACGACACAAGACGCTGTACAAATTAGGCGCGGAAGCAACAATGCGAACGTAGTTTTTAGGTAAAGTAGCACATAAACGTTTGGAATTAGCTGTAGCTAATTATTCCTATAGAATTACGGTAATATTCGTTGTGCGCATGAGCTTCTGGTTGCTGAAAGTCAAAGTACCTCTTGTTTGTCTCGCCGCACAGTGCGTCTCGCTATGCAGTAAGGGACGTTACCTGCGCAAAGGCACCATGGTATCCAAGTAACCTCCACTTAAACGTCCTATTCGATCGCAATTCTTCATGCACCCCAGATATTGCGCAATTGAGCAGTCACGTTGTTTAATTTAACCTTAAATTATTGAATACTCTCAAAGAAGATCACAAGGAGCTTATGCACCACCCAGCTGCAGCAGCAATCAGCACCGGCCCGTGCTTCCTCGGGACAATACGACAAAAGACCCCGACGGAACCCTTGCTATCGATCAACGTCAGCCAGGATCGTGGGGATCTTTCGTCCGGCTACAAGATAGCCCTTTACTCTCGCGCGAGATCTCATTTATCTCGACATGTAATTACACATATATAGTGCGATAATGATATCGTCGAGAGATGGAATATCCCTCTGATGGTGGTTTTATGGCCATAAATACTCGGAATGCAGCTCTCTGTCCCCGGCTAAGCATCAGGTAGGTGCTGCAAAGTGAGGTGCTGATGGAGAGACCTAAAACGGTGACTTCAAATTGCTGTAATAATGAATTTGAGAGAGATATTTCAATTCAGCGGGCTCCTTCTTGTCTCACTCACCCCTCAAGTGAAGTATATAAGTTGCGCTTAGTGACCACAAAGAACCATTAAGGTCGTTAAACCGCCATCCAGCACTCACATCAAAAAATCAATTCACCATTTCGAACCACTATGAAGTCTCTCGTCCTATCCGCCGCTGCCGTCCTGGGTGCGGCCTCCGCCCTCCCAGCTCCTCAATCTGACCCCATCCGCATCCTTCCATCATGGTGGAAATTCGATATCATCGCTCTCAGAGGCCCCGGCTGCCCCGACTTCAACACGACTGCAGTCTATAGCACTCGTCCAACATATGGTTCGAACACGGTTGACGGTAGCGAGATATACTACTGGCATTTCGCATACCCACACATGAAAGCATCTGTCGGAAGAGACGCAAGTGAGACTAGTACCTGGTGTGAGACGACGTTGAAGTACAGCGAACTGAAGGATCGGGAGGGGAAAGAGCTGAGCGGGGACTATAGATTGAAGTTGCATAAGAATGGAACAGAAGTTCTCGCTACATATGACCTCGAGGAAGGCGTGACGGCAAAGTGGAAATTCACTTACTACCCAGAGGATATGGATGAGGTAGGTCCTTGTTCTTTCTCATGATGAACTTCATGAAGGAGCTTTCTTGGTCCTACTGTATTGACAATTCCAAGGTTGTCGATGAGATCACCGTTAATGGTCCATATAACACATCTGCATACGGAGAGATTGTGCAATCGCCTGTGCGGAAGAATTCGGAGAGGTGGGCGCTACCGAAGTGCGGAGCGGGTACGATTAAGTATAAGACTCAGCTTAAGGTCACAGCTAAGAAGCAGGGCGCGAAGGGGACGGTAAGCAGCGAGGCTGTGGAGTATAAGGGCGAAAAGGGCCTCTATGGTGTACAGCAGGGTGTTAGTTATGATTGGGAGAAGTGTGCGAAATAAGATAACGCAGATTAAGTGTATATCTAATAGACATACTTTCCAACAAGCGAGCTAGATCAAGCGCTTAACCTAACTAGCCTAAAGCTTAATTGTTCCCTTAAGTTAAGCTGCCCTATAGTAATTAATAAGTTAAGTTAAGCTAAAAAGAAAGCTAGCTTAAGTAGCTTAGTAACTTAGTTAGCCTAAGCAGAAGAGAAGGCAGCAGCTATCTGCTAGTCAAGCTACTAGTTTTATAGTAAAAGTAATCTTGTAATAGCTTTTTAGTGTTACAAATATAGCTTAGTAAGCAATCTGTGCAACCTCACGCGGTGCATAGCACGCTCTATCCTATATTTTCTGCTGCTGCTAGCCTTACATACTGCGCTTTTAGTGTTACTTTTTTACTTAAACTTTTATCCTACTCTTTTTATTATTACTATAGCACCTAAACATAGTTCTGCTAACCTTTTTATACTAAAAAAACATATTAAAGCTACCTTTAAAGGCACTTAAAGCTAGCTTACTAGTATTAAAAACTTTTAGTAGTTATAGCACTTTTTACTACACTAAGCTTTTATTAAGTTACACTTATCTAATAATACTTTTAAGTTGCAATTATATAGACACTAAGCGCCTAGAAAAGCTACTATTATTAGCTAAAAAGGTGTTCTATTCTACATTTTTAAAGATAGTAAGATTATAGTTATATAAGTAACTATAGCTAGCCGCTAAAAGTCTAGTTCGCTAAGCCACTAACACTAAAACGCGCGATGAACGCGTTAATTAACTACCACCTACGCAACTATGCAGCGCCGTTCTTTTAGCTAAGAGATAAGCGTAAATTATTAGCGCAATGCTAAATTATCTATAAGAGCTTAGGATTTAATTATTTTAAAGTAGAAGGCTAGCGCAGCTGCAGTAAAGTTAGCTAATAAATTTAGCTGCATAATAAAGTATGTACACAACACTATTAATTAATACCTTAAAACAAGCACTAATTAATTACACTCTTACTTTAGCTAGCTTTTAAAGCTTACACATAAAGACATTTAGTAGCTTTATTATTATGCCTAAAAAAATTTAAAAATTAAGTATTTAAAACTTTTTTAAAAAGTAAGCCTTAATAAACACATTTTAAAGACTATAGCATACTACACTTTAAAGCATAAAAGATTAAAAGGTTTAGGTATAAAAAAAAAGCTAAAAAGAACTTTTATAACTACTACACTACACTGTAGCTAGAAAAAAAAGTTTTTAATTTTTAATTTTTAAAGGTAAACTATTTAGTTTTTTAATAAGTGCTTAGTTTAGCTAAGTTTTAGCGCTAATTATAAGTAGTGCTTTTAGTATCTATATAAAAAATACAGGCTTAAGATAATTAAAAAAGTATTCTATAAGTAGGCCTTACTAGTAGATAGTGTAGGTGTTAATTTAGATTAATAAAAAGAAGCGTGTATAAAGAAGCTTACTTATTATTATAAAGAGAAACTCTAACGCACTACATAAAGGATACTTAGCGGGCAATTAGATAGCTAAGTATAATATTAATGTTATTAACTTTTTACTTTATTTACTAGACCTTAACTTTATTAAGCATATATAGTAGTAGCTAAAACAAACTTTACATAAGCAGCATCTTAAATTTAACACTCTTAGATACTCTATAGAGAAGTAGAAGAGGTTCTACGCTAGATTAAAGAAGGCATAGCAACTTATCTTTAATTTATACATTGCTTTAGCTTACAGGCGCTTATAGCAGCTAGAAGATAGCAGAGGTTATTCTTAAAATGCTAAATCTTTTAATATTAACATATAAATAGTAAGCTGCTTTGTACTTAATAACATAGGAATAATAACTTAGCTTTAGTGTGTCTAATTACTACTACTATTATAGACTTCACATGTTTAATCTTATTAGCTAGAGGCTTCTCTAAGGATAAAATAAAAACACTTATAATAATAATAAGCATAAGCTTGCTAATTGTCACAGTCGGCATGCTCAAGCTACAAGCAAGAGGTGGTGTAACTCAACTAGATTAAACTAAGGAGTAGAGGAGCTGCTCTGCGAGTTTAAATATACATGTGTGCCCTCTGCCAAGGCGCTACTTGTAGCACTAGCGTGCTACTCGTTGCGCAAGCGAGGGAGCTGATGCCGCAGAGCATGTGACGCGGTACGCGCCGTCACACTAATAAGACTAAGTGTCGCATACAGCTATCCGTCTATATATATCCTTCTGCTGTGCTAGCTAGGAGGTTAACCTTTTGGCAAACGCAGCACTAAGTTTATAAGTAAGTAAAAGTATAATAAGCTGCTTAGCATTTTACTTAGTGTTATTAACTATATTAAAATACTATAATAGTATAAGGTTTTTAGTAGTTTTTAGACGCTTACTTACTATAAGCTGTCTACTAACATGCTAGAGCTTATACTACTTATGCTTTAAGTATACTGTAAAGCTATAATCTGCTGTTAACACTTACGCTAACTACTATATAACATACTTTACAGGCAAGTTGCTTACACACCTAAGTTACTTACTTTTACTAAGACTCTACTAAACTACTTTTTTTATACTAGTGCATTTCTAACAACACTACTTAAATATGCTAAAAGAATATTAGATATAGCTTATACTTTAGGCTTTTAAATAAAATATAACACTTTTAAAGCAACATACTCTAGCTATATATAAAGACTTTTAAAAGATAATAAATAACTAACACACTAAATAACTTTTATAAGCTAATTTTATAGCTTACTTTTAAAGGCTAAGTAATAATAAAAAGTAGGTAATTATTAAGCACATACTTAAGCTATATACATAAGAATTTTCCTCTTAGCTAGTAGCTATAGCTAATATAGCTAATTCTTTACACACTAAGTGTAATCTAAGCTATATTAGTATAAACTAGCCTAGTATGTTTATAAAGCATTATTTAAAGCTTAAAGTAAAGTTTTAGGTATAAGTATAGTTAGTAATATCTAGCCTATTATAAAGCTTATTTTATTAAAGTTATATGTGTTGTTATTTTAAATGCTATACTTAGCTTTAAATTACTTTAGAATTTTTATAAAAAGTTTTTTTATAGTTATACTTATACTTAAACTTTACTTTAAGCTTTAGATAACACTTTATAAACATACTAAGCTAGTTTATGCTAACATAGCCTAGATTATGCTTAGCGCGTAAAGAATTAGCTATATTAGCAATAGCTACTAGCAAAAAGAAAAATTCTTATGTATATAGCTTAAGTATATGCTTAATAATTACTTACTTTTTATTATTACCTAGTTTTTATAAGTTAGCTATAGAATTAGCCTATAAAAGTTATTTAGTGTGTTAGTTATTTATTATTTTTTAAAAGACTTTATACATAGCTGTAGCATGTTACTTTAAAAGTGTTAAATTTTATTTAAAAGCTTACAGTGTAAGCTATATTTAATGTTGTTGCGTTTACTAAAAGGTTAACCTTCTAGCTAGCACAGCAGAAGGATATATATAGACAGATAGCTGTATGCGACAAATGTTTTTTAGCATGTTTAAGTAGTGCTGTTAGAAATATATTAGTGTAGAAAGTGTGACGACGCGTATCGCGTCACATGCTCTGCGGCCTCAGCTCCCTCGCTTGTGCGACGAGTAGCGCCTTGGCAGAGGGCACATATGTAAGGCTGGGATAGCGCTTACGTGTAAGGCCGAGATGGTGCTTACGTGCGACGGGTATATATACTATTCTGTACGCAATAATTAACGTTGGTTGATTATTCGCACCTTTTTGGTTGTATTGGCGTAGTGGTACAGAGCTCCGTCCTTACAACATATGTATATTTAAACTCGCAGAGCAGCTCCTCTGCTCCTTAGTTTGATCTAGTTAGGTTACACCACCTCTTGCTTGTAGCTTGAGCATGCCGATTGTCACGGTTATGTTACAGCTATCCAGCCCCTGAGTACCCTAGGCTTGGCACGGGGTATATAGGCTCCTCGGCCTCTGTACCTCTGCCTCCGACCCTAAGGTTTACTCTCGTTACCCCCTATCCTGCATTCCCTCTCTGTGACCTGTGTTTCCTGCTCGATACCTCTCACACCGATCGTGACAGAAAGAGTAGTTTAGTACAGCTTTAGTAAAAGTAAGTAGCTTAAGGGTGTAAGCAACTTGCCTGTAGTGTACGTTACTAGACTATATAAAAGTCTATAATAAAAAAATTACACTATTCTATTTAGTAGTTATAGAGATAGAGCTAGATGCTTTCTAAGTAGGATTTTCTATAGGTTTCAAGTTGGCTGGCTAGGTGGCTTAGCTGGCTTGGTTGTGGAATGCGTTATATATTGTAATATTCATGCTTAATTAGTTATAACGTACCTAACGGGTTGGCCGGCCACTTTTGCCAAGCCCCTACTAAAACCACCCTATTCTAGCGCAAAACAGCCCACTTTAGCCCTGTATAGAGTAATACAACATAAGATATTATTTAGAGTCTACTTTTACTACTTTCTTACACATACATAAGTTATGCCTAGTCTAATTACACTGCTTATATTACCTTTAACTTAGCTTACTTTTTTTAGCATGCACCTGCGTTTTTAGCTTCTTTCTATTACTACGCGCTCTAAACTTCTTTAGAGTAGTTAGACAAGCTTTATCTTTAACTATTAAAGTTTTTTTTACTTAAATCTACTTTCTTTTATATAATGTATGTTGCGTAGCAGCTTTATTTGCTGCTTAAAGCTTTATAATCTTCTTTTACACTAACACTAGCTTATGCGTAATAATTAATGCCTTTTTTAAGACCTTTCTAAAAGCTTTTACTATAAATGTTAGTAAGCTATCTACATGCCTTTAAATTTTTACTTTTATAAGCATTAATTACAACTTAAATTTAAAAGTATTACTTAAGGTTTATAACTACTAGAGCTTATTATTAATAAGTAGTAGTAGTAATAAAGTACATAACTAAATATTAAAAGCTATTTTAACTTATTTTAGGTTAAATAAGACTAAACTAGCGCTTTAAAACCCTTCTTAATTATTACTAAAAGTAATTACTACATTATAAGTGTGTATAAAGCATAGTAGAAACTTAAGTTTTATAATATTAGTAATTTAGTTATACATAAAATTTTTAGCTTAGCGCCTATACACCTTTTTTAAAAGGGTAAAACAACCTACATTAAAAGGCTGTAAGAGGTGTAATAAGTGTAAAAGCATATAAATAGTAATAATCTTATTTTTTTTTATAGTACTACTAAAAATTAAGTAAGTTATAGCTTTTATAGCTATTAATAATAAAAAGCTAATAAGTGCTTATAACTTTTCTTTTTATATACTTATTAAAGTGCTTTAACTACTGCAGCTTAAGCTTATTTATTATTTAGCTATTCTTAGAGACTATAATAACCTAGTTTTAAGGCAGATTTTTTTTTATACTAAGTAAAAAGGTAATAGCAGCTTTTAAAGATAATAAAAAGTAAAATAGCTTACTTTATTATGTTAATGCTTTAAATAACTATTATCTACTCTTTATTACTTTACTATATTACTTTTAGCTGTCTTTATCTTTCTAAAGCTGTAATAACTACTCTAGTTAATATCTAGTTTATTATAAAGCTTAACTTATTAAAGTTATATATGTCTTTATTCTAGATACTGTACTTAGCTTTTATGTTAGCTACTAGGTAAAACTAGCCTTAGATAACCTCTAGATTCTTATAAAGCGCTTTTTTATAATTATACTTATAATTAAACTTTATTATAAACTTAGGGCAGTGCTTAACCTACATACTAGGCTAGTTTAAGCTAACCTAGCCTAGATTACGCTCTGTGCGCAAGGAATTAGCTATATTAGCTACAGCTATAAGCCTAGAGGGAAATCTATGTATAATAAGCTTAAGTATATACTTAATAACTACCTTTTTTTTAAGCTTAGTTAAATTTTTTAATTTAGGCTAGCATTCTGCTTCTAAAGGCTGTCTAGCGCGTTAATTGCTTAGTGTTGTGTAAAAAACATTATAAATAGCTGTAGCATGTTATAAGAAAAGTTTTAAGTTTTATTTAAAAGCTTAAAAAGTAAGCTATATCTAACATTCTTTAGAAGATTTAATCTAGTGTTGTTGTTAAAGCATTATGTAGATAGGTAGAGTGTGGTGGGGGTTTAGCAAAAGTGGCCGGCTAACCTGTGTGGCCGGCCAACCCGTTAGGTACGTTATATGGTTTTTGTAGCAGCAATTATAGGCACTTGCAAACTTCAAGGCGAGGCAAGGTTTAAACACTATTTTTTTTAGAATCAAATAAAAGCTTTTAATAATAAGTGTACTAAGCAGGGAAGTGGAGACTAAGAGATCCAGTGATGGGATCAGATCCTGGAGAGTCAGAAAGGATCGGGAAACGGAAAGTGGGACGGGGTTCACTTTAGGATTTACAGAGGGGGCTCTTCCGAGCTGCACGACGCTATGCAAGGTTATTTCTAATTCCTAGCGTTAGATCGCACTTCGCTAAGGACGGCCTTGTTTTAGTCTCCGCCATTCAACTCCGAGTTCCCGGTTCCAGATTCATCTCATCTGATCGCCAATGACTCGGGACCTCTTTGCTCCCCTTACTAGAAGTGGCGACATCCGATGCCAATTTCAACCTCCTTCACCCACTAGAACGTATTCAATTCCCCTCACGCAATCTGATCGGGTCGGTGCCAGGAGGTTCGAGCACAGTCTCTAACCACATTTGATCTCCCCTGGACCCAGAACCAGGCACCAGGAGCGGGTTCAAATGCAGGAACCAAAACGGGAGCTTTAGCCAGCCAGGTACGATCAAGGCTGCTGATCCAAAAGAAGAAAAAGAAAGGCAATATCTAGGCATTACCTTGTCAAGTAATTAACAAATTAATGGGTATATACTAAACCTTTATTGGCTCTGCGTCTGCTGGAGCAATATTATTCAGGCTTCACCCCTTCTAAAAACCACGGGCCATATATCTCCTCCACCCACTTAAAAATAACGCTTAATGCCTCTAAGGCAGTATAACAGTTAATAATATTAGCTGTAGTGCTGATATCCCTAGCACTAATAAGATGGATCTAGTGCGCTAAATCACTGGCAAAGTACAACTTCTAGCGGGGGTCAGCAATCAAGAGTGGAGAAAGTGTCATATTTACGGGGTCCTGGATGGGCTGGCTGGACCTCGTTAGAAATTGTCAGGTTTTTAGCGGAACTCGTGCCCATTCAAGAATAGGAAGAATTTGGTACCCGCCTCCGTCTGCACACTCCACCTGCGTCTGGACTGCACGATTCGACCTGCAGAAAGACCGGAGCTGCGGCGACTGAGGGGGTTGCAAGATAAGTACCAGTACCTAACCCTAAACCCCCCCTACCTCTCTCCCTCCCTCTCTCCTAGAGAACTAGGGATAAGTACTAGAGGACAAGACAACTGCGCAGGACCTAGAGGAGTTGTGAATTAATAAAATTAGAGGTAAAAAACACACGTTAGGGGCAGCAATTAACTTAAACACGCGTTAGGACGCGCAGGGTAACTAAGGCAGAGAATATAAGAAGACAACAGGAAAACTTAAGTAATAAAAGTAAAATAAATAAAGTAATTAATGTTAACTAAAAAGCCTTTAAAACTTTATAATTAACCTACACTTAAGGCTAACTAAAAATAAAACATAATAAAGAAATAAGTATACTTAAAAAAAGTGTAAAAGTAAAATAGAAAAAAGATTTATTAGCTATAGTGCTTATAGCACTTAAAAAAACCTAAAATAAGATAGTAGCTATAATAAAGTAAATAAAAAAAGAACATATAACTTAAATTAAAATAATAATAAAAGCACTTAAAAAGTAAAAGCACTAAAGGCAGAGAACAAAGTAATAGTAGATGAATTTAAAACCCTTTTAGCTAGATCTTCTACGCTGCCTAGTAGATTACTATCTTACGCTGCTGTAGCATAATTGCTTCTAAGCAGCTAGCCTAGTAACCTACAGACTTTTTCTACTAACATAGCACCTTTAATAATAATAGACACACTCTACTGCATAATTAACACATCTAGGATTAAAAAAGTAGATAGAGAGAAAGTAAAACTAGGCAAAATTAAATAAGCTATTAAGAAGAAAATATAAATAAACTACAAGCGCATAAAATAGTAATGTATAGTAGTAGTTAAAGACCTAAGGAACACTAATTAAATTAAAGTTACATGTAGAGATAAAAGTAAGCTCCAGGTAGTTAAAAAGGCAGCTTATAAAACAGCAGCTAGAGAAGTTAGGATACTGCGCAACTAGCTCTTTTTAATTAGAGTAGATGACACTAACTAGCTAGTAGTGCTATTAAAGAAAAAATAAATCTAACTAAAGCTTTAAAAGCCCTTAAGGCTAAAAATAAAGTGTAGGTAGTAAAAGTTAGCTAGCTAAGTAAAAAGAATTTAAAAAAAGCATATAAATTAATAGTAGTATATATTACTAAAGGCAGCAATGCAGCCTAGCTGCTATAAGAATAGTACTTTTACATTAATAAAGAATCTGCATACACAAGACTGTTTAAACTGTAAAATAGACTATTATAGTACTACTAATGCTAATAGCTAGAGCATAAGGCATTTACATGCATAAGGCAGCAGGTTTGTGCTAGGTGCGCTAGTAAAGAACACTACTACAGCAAATGCTAAGTAATAGTTTCTAAATATGTACTTTATAAAAGCCTTTATAAATCTTTCTTTAAAAACTATTAAGTGCTATACCTTAATTAAGATGCCTAGGACGCTTAAAATATTCTAACTTAATATAAAAAAAACATAAAGTACTACATAGCATAATAAAAAATAAGTAACTATAAAACTTAACTATATTAGCTATTTAAAAACCTTATATGTAAAAAAATAAAAAAAAAGATTATTATAACACTAGCTAGACACACTTACTAGGCTAAATTTACACTAACTGTATGTAAAGACAGAAGGTCGCCCTTCTAGAGTATACTTTAGATATAGAAAGACATTAAGGCTAAATAGCTGCTAGTATAGTTACTAGACCTTACAGCAGTAATACTACAACTACTTAGTTAAATAGTCCTAGTAGTGTTAGTCTATGTTAAAATAAGAAATAAGTAAGCACTAAAAAAGATAATAAATTACATCTAAACTTTAATCTAAACTACATATAACTAAACTAGAACATAGGTAGATGTAGTTTTAGCAGGTAATTTTAACTAACATAACTAATTATAAAAAGAGAATAATGTGTTAAACACTTACTAAAGTAAAGTAAACTTTATTAACATGGTCTACAAGCGAATGTTCAACACAAGCGAGTGTTCCGCCCCACCACCAAAACGCAGCTAACCTACTACTAACTGCGATGCATTAACAACTATACAATTAATTATCTTTAAAAGAGGCTAGAATTAACCTAGCTATTTAAGCTTTTAATAGAGACGCGTCTTTAACTAAGAAGCGCACTGCAGCACTCTACAATGTTAATTAAATGGCTCTCCGCCAACAACGCGCAGGGATGACTATGTGACGTGACTGTACAGCTAACAACAAGAAGCTTATAAAGCTAGAAGAGGAGGTAATTATTAAGCATATACTTAATCTAGATTCCTGAGGATTTGCGCCTACTCTAGGTGCTGTACAAGAGATGGCCAACAAGCTTCTTACTAAGCGCGGCGCTCTACTAGCAGGTATTAACTAGCTATCTAACTTTGTTGCGCGTACGCTAGCAGTTAAAACTTACCTTAGCTAACTATATAATTACTAATAAGCAAAATGTAAAGATCTAGTAATTATAAGTAAGTAGTTTAAGCTTGTAGAGGCTACACAATTAAAGTACAGCATTATAGATTAGGACATGTATAATTTTAACAAGACAGGCTTTTAGATAGGGGTTATATTAAGCTAAATAGTTGTTATAGGCACAGATAGACATAATTAGCTAAAGGCTATACAGCTAGGTAACTGTAAATAGGTGACAGTTATTGCAGGCATTAACGCAGATAGGTAGGCAATACCTCTATATGTAATCTTTAAAGGCAAGCATTACCTATCTGCCTAGTATAAGAATAAAGATATACTAAAGGACTAGGCTATTAGTGTTAGCAATAACAGCTAGATAACTAATAAACATAGAATTACATAGCTAGAGCACTTTAATCTGCACATAAAAAATTACTTAGTAGGCTTATAGCAGCTACTTATTCTTAATAGCTATAAAAGCTATTACTCTATTAAATTTATAGAGCTCTGTAAGCAGAGGCGTATTATAGCGCTCTGTATGCCAGCACACGCGTCACATATTTTACAGCTGCTTAACATTGGCTGCTTTTTGCTGTTAAAGCGCGCGTACAGTACTAAGATTAGCTAGTTAATCTGCTACTAGATTAACTATATTAACAAGCTAACTTTTCTACTAGCCTTTAAAGCAGCATTTAGTTGTTTAATTATAATAGATAATATCTGCGCAGGCTTTAGAGCTATAGAACTAGTCCTATTTAACCTAGAGCTAGTGCTCTTAAAGCTTAATATACAGCTACCTAATTAGCTAGCTACTCTACTACTAAATACTACCTAGAAGGCTTAAACACTTAGTAATCTTTATAAAGTTAAGGCTTAGTTAACTTTACTATATAATTAGATTTAAAAGCATTAGAATTTTTTTTTTTTTACTATGCTTAATTTAGTAAAGCAGCTAAGTAAGGGCGCTACTAAGATAGCTTATATTACTGTTTTATAGCGCAATTAAGCAGCTGCTCTAGAGAGGGCCTGTAAGGCAGCTATAAAGCGTAAGCAGCGTAAAAAAAAGTAAATTTAAAAAAAAAAACTCTAACAAGTTATTAAGGCTTTAAGTTAAGTACTTAAAAGCTTACTAGTATAGCAGAAGGTAGTAAAATGCCTTAGAAGGAGTTAACTGCTAAAAGCAGCGCAGCGCGCGTACAGCGCTGCAAGCGCTGCAACAAGCCTAGGCATAACTCTTATACATGTAAGAATATTAAATAATCCTATAGTAGTTTATTTTATATAGTATATTTTTGCGTTGTTAAATTAATAGTCTTTAAAGTTAAATTTAGTAGTAGGGCGGAACACTCGCTTGTGTTAAACATTCGCTTGTGGACTATGTTATACACTTTATAGTAAACTATTTACTTTATAGCCTACTTTTTAAAGGCATAAAAACATAGTAGTAAAAAATAAGTAAAAGCACTATTAATTTAATGCTAACTTTAGATAACCTAGTAGCTACAGCACTATGCTATAAAGTCTATAAGATAGAACATAAGTTAGATTATAAAGTAATTAAAATAACTTTTAATATAAACACTTTAAGATAGTAAGTAAAAGTAAGACTATTATTTAAAAATGCACTATAGAAAGTAATATAAATAAAAGTTAAAAAGACACTTAAAGCTAAACTAATAAAAAGCAGTGTATAGTAACAGACAGATAGGCTAATAGAAGTAGTAATAAAGGTAGTCTATAAGCTAACTCTAAAAGCTAGGCCCTTACTATATGCAAAAAGATAGTAGACTACAGACCTTACATAGTTATAAAAGGTATATACGCACTAAAGAAATAAAGTAAAAGTAGAATAGTAAGTAAAAAAAATAAGTATAAAAATAAAATAATAAGTAAAAGTAGTAGTAAAAAAATTTTATAACACAACACAGTAGCAGTGTAGAACTTACTAAGAGAACTTTTTAGTAAATAATACTAATATTTAGAAAGCTATAAAATACTTTAAACTAAATAGTGCTATAATATTTAATAAAATACTTTTTTTAAAAAGAACTAATAAATTAAGTATAGAAAAAAATTTAGAAATAGTAAATAAGTTACTATAGTTATTCTTTTTACTACTTTTAAACACTATTAAGAATAAAGGTAAACACTAGTAATATAGCCTAGTTAGTATGCCTAACCTAACTATAGATAAAATAGAATGCTGTCTGTTTACAGCTAAGCTGTAAAAGGCACTAGGTAATAATAAGCTCTTAGTTATAGTATAAAAGTAACTATAGCTAGTTGCAAAAAAAAGATTCTACTTTTATTTTACACATTACTAAAAAAGAAAGTTATTCTAGCATAGTAGAAAAACACTTAGATTATCTTACTTAAAAAGCTAAAAAAAGTAACTATAAAGTAGTAAAGTTATAAAAACTTATTTTTTTATTATTAACTTTTAGTAAGATTTTTAAAGCTGTTATAGTAAAAAAAATCTTATATATAATAAAATACTACCACAGTTCATAAATGATCTGTAAAAGCAAAGCTTGCTTAGAGCAATAGTTAGCACATTAAGGTAGGTGTAAGGCGGGATGTCCTAGAGCGGGATAGTATAGCCTCCCCTAGCCTGTTTAGAGGTCACATAACCTGTGCTTTGTATATAAGCATAAATCCTAATAAGCAAGGCTTAGTAGTAATT